GTTCAATTCCCGGTACTGGAGAAAAACCAAAAACAAAAAAAAAAAAAAAAAAAAAAAAAAAAAAAAAAACAAAAACAAGAAACAGAGTCCCATATCCCCTTCTCCAACTTTACACCACTGAAAAAACTTGGAAGTCATGTTGGTATATTGCTTTTTTTTTTTTAAATAAAAGAAGGAAAACATTAACAAACACAACCATTTACAAAATAGCAGAAGAATAATACAAACGATACAGAGTTACAAACAAAGTGGTAGGAAATTAACGATGCTTGTTGTATTACATATTTATAGGGTATATTGCTTTTAACTAGACTCTATATTTAGTATTCAGGGTTTTTTTTTTTTTTTTTTGGTAGTACTGGAGATTGAACCCCAGGACTTTGCACTGAGCTACATCCCCAGCCCTTTTTTATTTTTTATTTTGAGACACGGTTCCACTAAGGTATAAAATTGTTCAGGCTAGCTGGGTATGGTGGTACAGGCCTATAATTCCAAGCACTTGGGAAGCTGAGGCAGGAGGACTGCTGTGAGTTTGAGGCCAGCCTGGGCTACATAGTGAACTCAAGGCCAGCCTCAACTACAAAGTGAGACCTTGTCTCAAAAACAACAAAAAAAGAAAGAAATTGTTAAAACTGGGCTCAAACTTTCCATCCTCATCTTAGGCTCCCGGAGAGCTGGGATTACATGACGAAGAGCCCAGCTTCCACATTGTTATAGCTCACATTCAAGTAAGTATGTGTGTGTATGTGTATGTATGCTCCTATACAACTTTTTCTTTCTCTCCCCGTCCCCACCTGTACCGAGAGTTGAACTCAGTGCTAAGCTACATCTGCAGGCCATTTTAAATTTATTTTGAAATACAGGCTAGCTAAATTGCTCAGGCTGGGTTCAAATTTGGGATCCTCCTACCTCAGCCTCCCTTGCATGTTGGAATTACAAGCCTACAACACCAAAACTGCCTTTTTGTGTTTTTTTTTGTTGTTGTTGCTTTTGAGACAGGGTCTTACTAGTACAGCATATACCTCAGTCTGGTCTTGGACCCCATTTTATAGTCCCAGTTGGCCTTGAATTTGAGATTTGCTGGGATTACAAATGTGTACTACTATGCCTGGTAAGGTAGTTTTCATATAAAAACTTTTTAAATCTCTTTTTTGTTTGTTTATTTTGAGACAGTGTCTTACTGTGTAGTTCAGGTTGGCTGTGAACTCATCGTGCAGACCAGGTTGGCCTAGAATTCTCCAGAGACCTCTTGCCTCAGCCTCTGGAATGCTGGGATTATAGGTGTGGACCACCAAACCCAGCTGCAAAATTTCTTTTAAAAGGAAATGTGAACTGGGAGCAGTGGTGAACACCTGTAATTCCAGCACTCCAGAGGCTGAGGCAGGAGGATTGTTGCGAGTTTGAGACCAGCCTGGGCTATAAAGTGAGCTCAAGGCCAGCCTGAACTGCATACTGAGGCCCTGTCTCAAAAAGACCAAAAACACACACAAAAAATCCAGAAGATGTAGCTCAGCACCCTATTTTCATTTTTCAGTCCTGCAAAAACAAAAATATTACTACTCTAACAGGGCCAAAGGGGACAACAGGGTTCTCTGCCCTTGGGAAGTACTATTTATTAATTTTGAGCACATTTTCACCTCCTGGGTTACTTTCCCATGTGTAAATGTGCGTGTAACCTACTCCATAGTCTTCAGGAATTACTGTTGTGATTATAGTTCTCATGGGAGGACTGTATCCCTTCAGTGTGCCAAATGGAAAGATTGAAACTTTAGCTAAATTCTCCCTTTATAGGTAACAAAATAGCCTTTGGAACAATTCAGTGGGGTGTGCATGTTGGTGCACGCCTAGAATCCCAGCACACAGGCAGCTGAGGTCACTGGGGCTACATCATCGGGAGTTCAAGGCCAGCCTGAACTATGTAGTGAGACCCTGTCCCCAAAAACAAACAAACACACCAGGGTGGTGGCAAATGCCTGTAATTCCAGCACTCAGGAGGCTGAGGCAGGAGGATCCTTGGGAGTTCAGCTGGAGGCTAGCCAGGGCTACCAAGTGAGTTCAAGGCCAGCCTGAACTGCATAGGGAGACCTGTCTCAAAAGACAAAAACAAAACAAACAATACAAAAAACCCAACCCAACCCAAACCAAAAGAAAACAAAACAAAAGACACAAAACAATTCAATTACCATTCCTGTTCTCTTCATGAGCAGGTACAATGCAGATCCTTTTGCAGCTTCCAGGGCCTTTCCCTGTTCTCTGGCCTGAGAGCTCACCCCTTCTATTATTACAAGACACTCAGTGTCTTGAACCTGCTACGAACACATTTGCTGTGCTGAGTCTGGGTCTTCCTTAGCCATTCACAGATGCCATTTCCCGCCTTGACATCTGGCCAAGTGTCACCTGTCAATCATGGCTCTGAAACTTGATAAGGCCCCTTTTTCTGGGAATCTCATACCACTTCTTAGTGCTTACGTAGTTCATTATTACAATCATTCAGCTGTGGGAGTTGCTTTCCACTTTAGATTGTAAATTGTATCCCATTGCCTTTGTATCTCCCTGCTTTGCACAGTGTAGCAGAGCTGATAAATCTTTGATGGGACTGTGTTCTTGCCTGAGTTGAATGGCAACATGGTAACAATAATGTTGGCCAGCAACCAGAAAATGCAATTGTAGTAATAAAATGAGACATGCTGGGTGGTGGTATTGCCTGCCTGTGATCCCAGCACTTGGGAGGCTGAGGCAGGAGGATCGGCACAAGTTTGAGGCCAGGATGGGATGCATAGTGAGTTCAAGCCCAGCCTGAATTACATAGTGAGACCCTGTCTCAACAAATCTAAAATAAATAAAACTCAAAGCAATACAGCAATTGGAAGAAAATACAATTTTTAAAGGGAGTATATCAAGGGGTATCTCTAGATAATAGTTTGGGAGCTGATTCATATCTGAAATAGTTGAGAAGGTGACTTTTTATCACTTTTCCCTCTGGAGACTCCCAGTGTTGGAAGATACACTCATTGACTTCAATTTATTTTTTTCTTTTTCTTGCTTTCTTTCTTTCTCTTTTTGAGACAGGGTCTCGCTATGCAGTTCAGGCTGGCCTTGAGTTCACTTTGTAGCCCAGGCTGGTCTCGAACTCGCAATGATTCTCCTGCCTCAGACTCCTGAGTGCTGGGATTACAGGCATGCGACACCACGCCCAGCTATTTTTATTTTTTATTTTATTTTTTCCCCGGTACCGGGAATCGAACTCACGGCCTTGCGCTTGCCAGGCAGGCGCTGTGTCACTGAGCTAAAGCCCCAGCCCCTATTTTTATTTTTTGAGACATGGTCTGACTATGCAGCTCAGGCTGTTCTGGAACTATGTAGCTGGCTTTGAGTTCGTGACCCCCTCACTCAGTTGCCCAGCTCTGTTTTCTATTTTTCAAAGGGCTATCAAGTGCAAAACATTCTGTTTTGCTTGGGACAGCATATCCACAAGAGTGGAAAGAAGGGAAGCAGATTTCTACTCAGCAGGAGGCAGAAGTTTCTTACATTTAGAGCTGTCCAACAGTGGAGCAGAGGGAACTACTTAAAAGGTAGTGAGGGCCCTGATATTTGAACTGTTGAGATGGAAGAGGACCATCTGGCTGAGAGTACAAGAGGGAGTTCCTGCCTGGGCAGGAACACCACATATGATCTTGGAAGGGTCTTCCACTGGTTAACTCGGCTAATGTGATCTCTAAATATATCTGAATTATTTTGTTAGTTGTCAACTGAATTAAACAACGGTATGGAAGGGGGTGGCAGCACACGCCTGTAATCCCAGCACTCAGGAGGCTGAGGCAGGAGGATCGTTGAGAGTTTGAGACCAGCCTGGACTACAAAGTGAGCCCAAGTCCAGCCTGAACCGCATAGTGAGACCCTGTCTCAAAAAAGACAAAAAAACAAAACAGGGGCTGGGGATTTAGTTCAGCTGCCCAGTGCCTGCCTGGCAAGCAGGAGGTCGTGAGTTGGATTCCCGGTACCGGAAAAACAAAACAAAACAAAACAAAACAAAAACCCAACGGTATGATCAAGTTTACAGTAAGCAAAACTTGATAAAATGAGAAGTGAGGGCTGAGGATATAGCTCAGTGGCATAAGCACCTGCCTGGCAAGCGCAAGGTTCTAAGTTCAATCCCTGGTACCGCAAAAAAAAAAAAAAAAAAGTGAGAAACTAGGTTTGATACTGAAAACCCAGATACCATCCAAACCAATTCAACACTTTCTTTTTTGCAAGCATCTCGCTGTAATCCAGGCTGGCCTCGAACTCCTGGTGTTCCATCTGCCTGTCTCCCGAGTGCTGGGATTACAGTCGTGCACCACTTCACCTCGTCCAGTTTTTTTTTTTTTCTTTTTGAGACAGGGTCTCACTATGCAGTTCAGGCTGGCCTTGAGCTCACTTTGTAGCCCAGGCTGGGCTTGAACTCACAATGATCCTCCTGCCTCAGCCTCCTGAGTGATGGGATTACAGGTGTGGGCCACCACGCCCGGCCTTCGCTCCGTTTTTAATGCCCCTTTCAACAGAAAAGAGAGGAGGGATGAATGTAAGTGTGTATGTGTTTGGGAATCACTCGAACAACGTCCTGGGCTACAGGGCGTCTAAATTTTCACTTCCTACATTCTTGGTCAGGCGGGTTTTCCCGTCCAGCAATCCTGTGCGCCTATGCGAGGGCCTGTACCGCTCGCCAGCCACCCCGTCAGAGGCGGCCCCCGCCTTGGAGCGTACGTCCGACCGCGGCCAGTTTCGTCAAGTCCCTCCAGGCCCCGCCGCCGGGAGCGGAAGGCGGGCAGCAGAAGGCCGGCAGCAGCCGCGGGCTGAACCACCGCTCCCAGGGGCCCCCGCGGCGCTGCGCATGCGCGCTGTCGTGGCGGCCGCGCCGCCGCAGGACGCAGGGAAGCCGACTAGCGAGCGGCGACGGCGGTGGCAGTTAGCGGCGAGGGCGACGGCTCCGAGGGCGGCTGGCTCCCGGACGAGGTCCTTGGTGTCTTCTTCCGCATGCGCCCATCGGTGAGTGTGCGTCGCGGGCCAGCGCTTCGGCTCGTGCCGGGAAGCCCGGACTCTCCGGCCTAGGGCCGCAGCCCGTGCCTGACGGCCGGGCGCCGATGCCGCTGTCC